TGAAACTCGGAATCCAACTCGGAATCCGAGTTCCCAGGGCAAATGGAACGCACCATATGATTTTGGTATAACCTTCCTGCGGCGTGCCCCTCCCCCCTCTTCGCACATGCGCAGTGGTGTGGTGCATAGGAGAGAGAGAGAGATACTGTAGGCTAGCGGTAACGGGCAAAAGAGGCAGCGGAGATGCGAAGCTGAAGTGATTTTTTTTTTTGCCTTTCAAAGTGAATTTCGGACCTTTTCTGATCAAAATGGTATTGCAAATTTTAGAAGTGGTAGTGACCTTAACCGGAGAAGTTTTGGCTTGGAAGTTTAGGTTTTTTTTTTCCGCCCGGAGCAGTTTCCCGGGCATCGATTGGATAGCGACAGAAGTTTCTTCAGTTTGTGTGCATGTGCGAGGAGACGTGCGTGCACGAGGACATCAGATGGCGAGCTTTTTCCAAGAATTTCGCGCCTTAAGAGACTGAGACAACATCAGAACCAGCTCGAAGGGACACGGTTTGAAGTTTCTTTTCTTCTTTTACCGGAGGACTATCTCACTGTTATTGTAGTAGGACTATATAATTGCCTCATTAATTAAATGAATGAGGACTGAACTGAACGTTAAACTAAAGAATAAGGATATCCTTTGTGACATACTGTTTACTGTTGATTTCTTTTGTCATGTTACTCATATGGTTCGTTGAGTAGTACATCTGTTTTCTAAAAGAACGCTGATTTAAAGGTGCTATGGTGAAAGTTGCAGTCTCTTTCAAATCAAGAGTTATTTAAAAACTAAAGGGAGTAAATAGTTTAGTAAATTTAACTATTAACCCAAGAGCAATTAAACAGACCGGTCTTTTTTTTTTAAAAAAAGAGAAACATCTAGTTGACAAAACTAACTAAAATTAGGATAATTATTACCAAAACCTATCCTGGATCTAAAAGAAGGGAAAAAAGGGAAGTCGAGTCAGACTGATTTTGCTACTGTTGTATGTGTATGTATAATTGTGTGTTTATTGTTTTTGTAATTTCAGTAAAATTGCCGGCTATAACCCCAAGGTTTTGTCTCTGGTCTGCCTATCTATTGTTAGCTATTCGAACCACTCCTTCCGAACCTAGAATTGGTCCAGTAGCTTATGTTCCCTGCTTTCCGGTGACACAAGCGTTACACTTCCCCTTCTTGTTTCCTTTTCGGGTTCCAATTTTTTCTGAGCTGGTGTAAAAAGTTTGAAATCACTGCGTTACAAGATGCTGTTTTTGTTCCATGTCATCTGCTTTCATATATTTTTTTCAGGCACAGGATGCCCAAAGAGCAATGGCGGATGAAGCTGTAACAGATGCTGAAGATGCTGGCCAAATACCAGATTTGCCTTGAGTGCATTAATTTTTTTTTATTTCGTTTCTATTATTTCTCCTTTGGTGTCTGTGACCGTTTCCTGTTTCCCTGAGGTAAAAATATGACACTACGTGCATGTAAAATGCTTTTGTCATCCAGCAATATGGGTAAAACCAAAAAGCTTGCAGCAACTACAATTATGTGTTTAAAACTGAACTTGTCATGCACACTGTCATGTTTGGCATAATGACATACAATGAAAAGTACCTGTTGCTCCATGTGAAATATGATGGCACATCGTTGATCCTTTGGGGCTGCTTTGCTGTTCTTGTGAAGATTAATGGCAGAACGAATTTCATAATATAGCAGGAAATTGTTACCCAAAACCTGGCTGCATTTGTCAGAATGTTGAAACTCCATAATGGATGGACCTTTCAACAAGATAACACAAAATCTAAGTTCTGCAATGACCATCTCAGACTACATATTGGAACCCAATTGAAAACCTGTTTCATGAACTGAAGGGAACGCCTACAAATGCTGACCCAAAAATTAGAAATATTCTGCATGAAGAATCCCTCTACAAGTGTTCTCCAGCCTAATTAAACATTATGGAAAGAGACTTATTATTCATGCTTCACTAAATATTGTAGTGAGTAATTGCTCCCTAGGAACTGAAATTGATAAGCTGCACCTGAAAAGGGGTGGGGTTTTTGTTTTAAAAGGATCCACCATGGGCATTCGGGCATTTAGGATCGCAGCCCCAAAAGGATACTTTTAAAAGACAGCCGTAGGGGTGTGTGTGTGTGTGTTGGGTCTAATCTAATGAGACAGGATTGTGTTTGCCCAAACAAAGACCTTATTTTCCTTTCTTGCTTGTTGCTGATTGGATGCAGGGAACATGGTGTGCCTGTTGCTGATAGTAGGTTAGCCATGGATGAAGAGAGTGAGGCAAGAGGATGGTGGTAAATGTGTAGGGTAGATAGTGTTTTGTTTTGTTAAGGCTGGCAGTGGAGAAAGTTTGGATCCAATGCCGTGTTTGAGGTTGGTGGGGCACAACAGGACTAATCTTCTTCATTCTCTGGAGGTGGATGGGGAGGCTGGTACTGCCTCACTCCAGGGAAGTAACTGTCATTTTAAAGTTAGACTTTTGTATGAATGTGAGTGAGAATGCAAGCTGATGAAGTCTCAACTAAGAGCTGTGGCAGTGTGTAGAGGGCGGGGAACAAGAGTAGTGGGGATGACTTTTTAACACAAAGCATGTAGGTTTATTCCTTGGATAAGTCTGCTGTGTGAATTGTATGGTTATTGGTTATGGCACTGACTGCTGTGATATTTGTGTGTGGTATTATCTTCCTTTTGTTTTGGTATTGCCCTCCAAAGAAGGCTGTAGCCCTCAGCTATATTTATTATTAAAGAACACTTTCTCTAGTACTGTCTCATGTATCTGGACCTCCCCTGAGAAATTAGAAATACGTGGTGGCAGCATTTACCAGTGAATCCTTGAAGATATGGCAATGTTGATTACATCATTTTGGGTATCTTAGGCATATTACAATATTAATTATTAGGGTGCCAATATTTTTGTCACTGAAAATTGTTACAAAAAAGGCTTTCAATGGGTTAAACTATAAGGCTTACACACATGAAGCCTACAATATTGCTCATCACATGTTTGATTCATGTTATGTATTAACTACTTTTCATGAAGGGTGCCAATAATTTTGAAGTTAAGTGTATCTTTGGTATTTTAAGCAAAGTGATCAAATATCCTTCTCTAAACACAAGAAATATTTCACCCAACTTAAACTTTATTTATAGAGCATATTTCCAGACACAAATGTCACACCAACTTTTTTACAGGAGAAAAAGAAAAGAAAACCCACAAAAAAACAACAATATAAGACTTCTTATCAAAAAGCCACAGAAAACAAGTATGTTTTTACCTTAAAGAGGCTAAGAGAGGTGGCAGACCTACCATGCAACCATAGCTTGTTCCATAGCCATGGGACAGTTACTGCAAAGGTGTGATTCCCCCTTAATTTTAAGTCTAGACTAGGAAACTAGTTAAGAACATAAGAAATTTACAAACGAGAGGAGGCCATTCGGCCCATCAAGCTCGTTTGGGGAGAACTTAACTAATAGCTCAGAGTTTTTAAAATCTTATCTAGCTCTGATTTAAAGGAACCCATGGTTTTAGCTTCCACTACACTAGCAGGAAGACTATTCCATACTCTAACTACACGCTGTGTAAAGAAGTGCTTCCTCAAATTCGTTTTAAAATGTTCTCCCGCTAATTTCCACTTATGGCCACGAGTTCTAGTATTTAGACTAATTCTGACTAGTATTCTGACTAGTTGCAACTGGTCAGATGATCTAAGAAAGTGCGATGATGAGTAGAAACAAAGAAAGTAAAATAGAGCCAATCCATGCAGGGCTTTGAACAACATCAGCTAAATTTTGAAATCAATCCTATATTAATAGTTATCCAGTGAAGAGAGGCTAGGATAGGAGTAATATGATAATGTCCCAGTGTCCTAGTTAAAAGCTTGGCAACTGAGATTTGTATATACTAAAGGCATGACAAAATTTTAAGTTAAGGAATTCATGAAGTAAACATGTTAGAAAAGGGATATTTCTTAAAAGAACTGCGGCTCTGTCACTGTAATTATGGAACATGAATTTAATATTGCTTGCTGAATCCCAAAGCTAATAGTGACAGCATCAAAAGGCACAAACACCTTACCTGCAGTAATACAATAGACCCATTATTGATTGTTTACATTTTTATTTTCCAAACTACATTTGAAATATCATGCGCACATTTGTGACTTTCTTGAGTGAAGTAGAACATACACATAAAACTTTCATATTCCAAGACACATCTGAGCTGATATTTTTATAGAATGCCACATGGACTGTTGCAAAAGATCAATCTACAGAAAATCATCAAGATTTCCACAATTTATATTTATTAGAAATATTTATATTTGGCTTTTCTCCTTTGAATCGTTTAAATGTGCTGAAAATGTAACTACAATAGAACCATACCTTTTCTACCTGGCAAGTAAATCTATCAATATAAGATTTTAAGGCAGCTCATTTTGAAATCTTTTTTAAGTAAAAAACAAATGAATTGCAGTAGTATATAACAGCTTTATCAATAGCTTTATAAGTTCACAACATTCTCAGCACAAAAACCACTGTTACCAAACAGGTCTTATGACATGTACATGTGACCATAAAGTACCCTGAAATATTTTTATGAAATGTGTGATTCACTGAAACTTTCCAAAGGTAAAAGAAAAAGGGATATTGTCTTCCATCCTACCCAGAGCTGGGCTAGCAGCTCCCTGACTGGGACTCCCAGAGGAGAAGGGGAAGTCATGCTCATCCTCTGATCGACTGCCCACCTGCTCAAACAGGAAGCCTGGAATATCAAATATCACTGGTATTAAAAACTTGCACAATGAATCAAATTATGCACGTAAAATGATACTAAAGACATAAATCACCTGTGGATTTGCAAGCTGAAAGTTTCTATGGAAGAAAGCAAAAATCAGGAAGGATAGACAAATAGTATGGCAAGTAAGCCACTAAACAGTATTGTCATCACCCACCTTATCAGTGAAACAGGAGCTTGAAAAATAAAAGGGGATGTCCTACAAGAAGGTAAATATTAATTGCGACGACACCATTTCACACAATTCAGTTTCTGTATAAATATTTAACCTGCCTCACCTCTTCAGTAGACTCTACATGAAATGTGCAATCAAAGCCAGAGAATGAAGGTGTGTCAGGGACAGAATGTGCAGCAAACATGAAACCAGGGGACACTGAAGCTTCGCCGTGAGGAGATTGACTTGGATTTCCACTATGTAACAAGGAAACAGAACCATAGATATTCTTGTGTATGAATATACCTTGCATATATATACTGCATTTGACCATATGAAAGTGCTGCAGACCTTGACCATGTTTAATATATATTATTCCACAATGTTCACTGTTTGTTGAATAACATGCCAGCAATCTAGCCTGCACATAGCACATTTTTTCTTCTTAAGGTTATAATGTTAGCTTGTTTAGTAAAGCAAACCTGAGTGAGAAGGTTGGAGTGCTTGACACAGCCTTCATTCTGGGTGTCCGTAGGTAACTGTCCCTTTGCTCACCCTCTTCAGCAGTGTGTGCTGCCTGTTCCCTTGCAACCTGCTTACCCATTTCACCTGCTCCTGTCTGCATTGAGATACCAAAGACCATCTGAGAGGTCACTGCATGTCATTCAACAGTCAAACATCATGAACAGTATTACATCTCTATATATCACACCATTGCCAACACATCTTTGCTTTTGTTAAAATGTTGTCTCTTGCGCTTAATGGAGTTTGGCCCAGCTTTAGAAGTTAAAGGGTGTTATCAAAATCAGTTAATATAGCAGGAGTCTGAGAAATTTTAGGGTGACAGACTCATGCTGCCATTAGGCCCTTGAGCTGAACTCCAGACACATGCTAACCCTGTACTGTAACACCAAAACTTGCTTTCACCTATATGTGTGCCGCATGAACAGCAAGACAGGATTGAAAGCTGCAAGTTGGTGTCTGTAGATACTTTACAAAAAAACTAGTCTAGCTGTGCAAACACAAGCCTACACTGACCATATCCAGGAATAGAAAACTGCCTCGAATGCTGCACATGCATTTTACCTATCCTTTAATATTAGTATAGACCTAGATCGCGCTTTTCTGTTATTTTTTATTTTTCCCCCCCCCCCTTGTCGTGTCCGGCAGTTTAGCAAGCAGGATGTTAGTCTGGGTGCCTTATTGTGCCAACACTTTTATTTTGCCAAGTGGAGCTTTGGATTTAAGCTCCTCTTGTTACTTGAGGTATACTCTTTATTAATCATTTTTATGTCATTGCGCCACAAAGCTGGAGCTGACGGGGGGTTAGTGGGAAAGAGATAGAGAGAAAGTGAGAAAGGAGAGAAAGGGGTGAGAGACAGAGGAAGTAGAAAAATAAATAAATACATAATAAAAATAAAATAAGGAGGGGGGTCAGAGAGAGAGAGAGACAGGGAAAGAGAAATAATACATAAACAGTAGAACAAAAAGGAAAGAGTAATAAAAGGACAGCTTCTGCATCTTGCTGCTTTACACCGTATCATCACACCAGCTGCTGTATCTGAAAGATAAGATCCCGGGACACACACAAACAGTATACACACAAAGAAACCAGTGGTACCATTATGACATGGGAATATGCTTGTGCCAGTATCTGCTTCTGGAATTAAATACGTTAATACCAACGAAAGAAAATAAATATATATACATAAGCAGACCACCAGGAACACTGTCTAAATATCGTCGTACCCGTATCTGCATCTGAGAGGAAGGAGTTCAAGCCACACACCAACTTTCACACATACTCTCACACACACACACACACACCCAGACAAGGAGAAAGAGGGATAAAGTAGGGGAAGTGTGTATGTGTGTGTATGTCTATGTGTGTGTGCATTCTAAGTGTATGTGTGTTAATATGAAAGTGTGTATGTGTGTGCGTGTGCATATGTACGTGTATGTGTGTGTGTGTACGCATACGTGTGTGCAGGTTAACATGGAATGATTCCCAGTGAGTGAGCGAGGCCACAACAACACCGCCCCGGGGCCCCCAGACGGCCGGGAGAGCCCTGACGGGTCATGGACCCAGCCGCCCCACAGCGGCCAGGTACCCGGGCCCCCCGCCACCGGATGGCTGCGCGCCCACCCAAGGAAGGCAGGGGGGGAGGCACCGGGCGCCCCCCACCGGCGAGCACGAGCCAGGGACCCCATGGCCACAGGCGGCAGCGCCCCGGGGGCCGGCCACGCAGGCATGGACAGAGCCCGGAGTCCGGACCACCCGCACACCCCGTGGGGGCCTCGCCAGCCCCGGGGAGACCCGCC